GTTGATGATGCTGAGCTCCCTGATGAAGCAAGAGTTCGAACGGCAGATGCAATCACACCCTTCATCGCCATGTTCCTTATGAATTTCCTGCTAAAATTGGTCACCAAAGCCTCAGAAGAAATCAGAAATTAAAGTGATATAAAGTCTGAAGACAAGTAGAGAAGCCTCTGTGCTGTCTGCAACTCAAAGCCCTCTTCCCATTTATTTATAATAAGCAAAGCAAACTAATCTGAGTCTCTCACTCAAACTTCTCTTTGTTATCTGGTGGGGACGACGAAACGCTCCTTATTTTTATTTGTTCTTCCCTTATAGACTTTGGTCTTTTCGCATCGTGAACCTCATGTTTTCCTATGCATGCTACGCACGTGTACAGTGTGCTTGTCGGAAAACACTCTGTTTTTCCTTTTGGCAAATGTCCGAACCCAAAAGATGGCCCTTTCTACCGTGCTGGGCAGTATTTGTGTCTCAGAAAAAGAGCAAGTCTTGTTGCATTTTTTACTTAGAGAGATGAAATAATGCAACTTCCCACGCTTCTTTTTTCGCTCGCTAATTTTTTATGTACTCACCTATATGCATAAGACATATGGTTCTTAAGAGGAGTGAGCTCTATCTACAAATTTCTTAGTGGAAGTAAGTTAAATTAATCTAAATTGTGGGGGGAGATTCGAACTTAAATAGCCAGAACTCGCGATCTTAACTAACTTACCTAACTCACATATGCGGGTAGCTTTAATTTAATTTCAATTTGTCGATTGGCTCTGTGTTTTTTCAGTGACTTTTGATGAAAGCTGTTTGGAGGTACATATGGATTTGGTCAATAAATTCCCAACCAAAAACCCGGAGGCACTCGTTCACTTACCCGACACGGATACGCAACTGGGGGAGGTGAAGTGACTAATAATTCACTCATCTCAAGTTTCCAACTCGTACTTGAACTTGAATTGTTAACAGGGGAATTCGAAATTGATAGCAATCAACAAGCTAATCACAATCACAATCACAATCACAATCATGATATCACAATCTTCTCTTACGTGGCAGATGCATCCTCTATTGGACCACATGGGAATTACTCTAGTTGCCTTTATCTTATCTTGTGGAGGTTGAGGTGGCATTGAGGCGGCACCGACAGAGACACCATTAGCTGTTCTCAACTGTGTTGTGGGATGTACCAATAATCTGAACTTGTGACAGCCCACTATATACTTGGGCTCAGTTTTCAGGCGCCAAACTTCACAACTTTAACAAACTAAGCCCAAATTAAACTTGGGTTTTTTTGTGTGAGTGTGTGGAATTAGTGTGAAGTGAACTCGAACTGCAAGACGCTGAATTTCTGTGGAGGGTCAGGGAGGCGATGGAGATGGAGATGGAGCTTCCGGTTGCAACAGTGACTCAGCACGATCAATGGAAGGTGGAGAGTCAGGTCTTTCGGATATACGATCTCTTTGGCAACCTTCCCCCCAACGCCCAATCCGTAATGTAATAGAGCTCCAAACTTTTCACTCTCAATCAATCCTTGGGTTTAGAAACAATTTTTTTTTTTTTTTTTTTTGGGGTTGGTTCTAGAAATTTAAATGGTGTTTTGTTTGGGTGTTGATTTTAAAGGATCGAACTTCAGCGTGATAATCACATAGAATACTTAACGAGAGGCCTCAGACAACTCCATCCCTCATTCTGCACTTTGGATGCCAGGTATTCTCTCTCTCTCTCTCTCTCTCTCTCTCTCTCTCTCTCTCTCTCTCCTGGTGATTCTGAGCTGAATTTTAAGGCTCGTTTTCATTGAAGTTTTCATTTTATGACATGTACATTTGTTTTCAGTCGGCCTTGGCTGTGCTATTGGATTCTGCATTCTTTGGCTTTACTAGGGGAGTCTGTTGATGACGAACTGGAACATAACACCATTGACTTCCTTAGCCGTTGCCAGGTATGTGAATATAACCGATTGGCAGTTGTGTTGACAATCTCACATTGCTTAAATGGAACATAATTGAAAGGCCGGTGCTTTAGTTTGCCATCTTTTTGTGTTGGCATGGAATGGTAAGTTTAAGTTCTCATGGAGCTTTCTTTTGCTTCCAGGACCCAAGTGGTGGATATGGCGGCGGACCTGGACAGGCAAGTAAATGCTCTCACTATAACTTTGTTGAACTCTGTTGGTGTTATTTGTAATAGCTTGACGAGAACTGCTACTTCCAACCTTAAATTTCTTGGTTGCTTCCATTTCAAGAGCTAGAATTATACAGAATTACTTGTCCGTTCTACTATATCATGCAGTCTTTTGCTTACAATAGTTTACGTGTTCAATGTTTTCTCAGCTGCCACATCTGGCAACAACTTATGCTGCAATCAATGCACTCATAACTGTCGGTGGTGATCAAGCTCTCTCATCAATTAACAGGTGGTCAGTTTAGGCTCCTTCAAATAAATAAATAAAACTTCTTTTACAACAGTGCATTTCCAAGCTTTTTGGAAGTGATTTGACATCATTATTTCTTTTCAGAGGTGAACTATACAAGTTTCTGCAGCAAATGAAACATCCAAGCGGTGGCTTCAGGTTAGATATCACATTAATCTGTGTGGTTTTCTATTTTGACATTAGATTATGACTAAAATTTCCTAAATGTATACTTCACTTGGAACTGTAATTTGCAAAATTTGCAAATAATTTTTTGGTGCTTATATACTTGCACGAGGGCATATATTTGTGCAATGAAAATTTCAGTAACCTTGATATTGCTTTTACCAGCACTAATTACTTTTCCTTAGGATGCATGATGGTGGAGAAATTGATGTCCGGGCTTGCTACACTGCGATTTCTGTTAGTCTCTCTCTCCCTCCATATCTCTAATACACACACAAAGACATTGGTGCAGATTCTTAGTGTGCACATCCTTTTTAATGCATTATAGTTCTGTTCTTCGTTTACAATATGGTTTTGTATTTTTCATGATGACGTTTTTACTCATTCTTGCAGGTAGCGAGTATTTTGAACATTTTGGATGATGAACTGGTTCATAATGTTGGAAGTTTCATCTTAAGGTTTCTTACCTAATCTTTAATTTAATTGGAAATTTAGCTCAGTTCACACTTTAACGTACCTAGTTATTTTTGCATTATATATATATATATATATATATTTTTTGTCTTTGATGTTCTTTAGTAATGTTCTTCCTGTTGGCTTCATTTGATTGAGTCATTGACTGAAGCTTGCCTTGTTGATATGAATGGCATTATATATTGGATAAATTAAAATTTTTCCCTTTGCAGTTGCCAGACTTATGAAGGTGGCATTTCTGGGGAACCTGGTTCTGAAGCTCATGGCGGGTAATTTTCAGACTCATAAATGTTTAAATATGATAAATGTCAACATCAATAGCCTCTTTTCTTGGTTATGTGGATGAAGTGGAATCATCAGTTTGAGTATTAGTTTTTTATACTATTGAGTAATGCGATTTCAGATGTACCAGCAAAAATCTCTGTGAACTTTTAGGTTTCCTATTCCATCCACGCACATGTTAAATTGTCTGTCTGCCTATTTTTATGTCCTTTACCATGTACCTATTCTGAAGATTGTATAATACTTTCTCAGATTATGTGAAATTTTAGGGTAATATATTCTGGCTTCCTTTTCCATTTCCCATCCACTCACCTCTCAACATACATGGGTGCATGTCGTGGACATTTGGCCTTTCATAGATCAGACAATTTTTTTTCTTCAGGTACACCTTTTGTGGGGTGGCTACAATGATTCTAATCAATCAGATCAATCGTTTGGACTTGCCCAGACTAATTGTAAGAAAACTTCGCACTATTTTGTGTAGATGCAGATGATCATAAATATTCAAATTGGATCAGTATTCTTCTAGAAGCCTTTTATTCTTCTGTTTGAGTAGTTGGCTATTGTATTAGGATTGGTTGGTATTTCGACAAGGGAAGGAGTGTGGATTTCAGGGGAGGACTAATAAATTGGTTGATGGTTGCTACTCCTTTTGGCAGGTAATTCTCTGCCTTTTTCTTTATTTTCTTGGGGATCCTTTTGAGTCATAGTTGAATTATTTATATTAATTGACCAGGGAGGTGTTTTTCCATTATTACAAAGAGTGCGTTCAATTATTGATGAACAACTCGTGCTCCCGGACGCTGGAGGACACTGTACATCTAGTATATCTGAAGTGGGGGAAGGTTTTGAAGGCACTTCATCTCATGTTGATGATGCTTGCCATTCTAGGCAGGAAGGTAGGTTGACTTAGACAAGTTTAAGGTTTTTGGCTATCTATTATTTACCGATTCATTTGCTTTTTTATACCCGTGTTTTCTATTTTGTGTTATAGTTTTATGTGTTGTGCAGTTATCTTATAATCTTTTTGTTCTTGTATGAATGGATGAATGCTCCCTGTGCAGTGAATTTCAATGATATCGGTTATAATTTTGTCAAGAGGCCTATAGAAATGGAGCCACTTTTTCACAGCCTGGCATTGCAGCAATACATACTTTTATGCTCACAGGTGTGGTTTTCGAATATAGCTCCATTCTGTGATAACTGGATGCTTGATTGGATTGGTTTTCGAATGGATTGCTCATTAGCTTAATATTGCATCCGCATTAGTTTGCGCATTAACTTAATATTGCATCTCAATTTACAGATTTCTTGCTTCCCAGGGGTTAATGTTTTAATTTTGATCTGGTCGATGCAGGAGGAGAAGGGTGGGATGAAAGACAAACCTGGGCTATCTAGGGATTTCTACCACACATGCTATTGTCTGAGTGGTCTCTCTGTATGCCAACATATGTGGTCGGATGAAGAAGACTCTCCAGTGTTGCCTAGAGCATTAATGGGTTCCTATTCTAATTTGTTGGAACCAATACATCCCCTCTTCAATGTTGTCTTAGAACAGTACCATGAAGCCCGGGAATTCTTTACAAGAGACTGAGCAAAACATTCTCCTCGGTGGTCTTCTGATAACATAAATAATTATGCGCAGTCTTTGATACATAAATATTAAATTTGATCAGTCATTGGTATTTCAAGACTGCGGAGGCTAGCAGTCAATGAAGTGACTGATTTGGCCATAGGAGAAGTTGAGGACCAGCCAGAGGTAGTATGTAGTAGTTAGTGCATGATGCTGTTGTAAGATTATTCAGTGTTGTTTTGATACTTGTATAAATAATCTGTACTCATTTATGTCCAAAAAAAAAAAAGGGGGAAAAGAAAAAGAAAACAAATTTACTGCTCAAATGGAATTTACTTGTTTTTGTTTTATTCCCCCCACCACACACCGCCCAGAACCTTTGGCTACCAGTTTTAGCGCTTGACTGCGTCTGTGGTGGTGGTCCAATTGACACCAACTCTGAAAGCAACATGAACAAGTTTGGGGAATGTGGAAGTAACAAGTAACTTTTAGTTTAACTTTAGGAGGCTCTCAAAGTCAAATCTCCTTTTTATTTACAGGAATTGAAGTCTTGAAGAAATGGAAAACTGTCAAGTTATGGATGCAGAAGAAACCCGTTCTTCAACTTCCTCTCCGTCTCAATCTCAGACTCAGAATATGAAGACAGAAAACCAACCAGCACCCCAAGACAAAGAAGAAGAAGAAGAAAAGAAAAGAAATAGCATCTCAGAAACACCACCCACTATCAAGTCTTATTCACCTCCTCTGTTCCAGTCCCCATCTCCACCATCCGATTCTCTAACGACACACTCAACCCATCAAGCCTACCACACTCATGAGTTCAGAGTCACACCTTCAGACACCAAGCCGGCATCGCCACCGGCCGTGCCGGCCCAGTCTTTCAAGGTCAAGCCCAAGGTCGTGGATCCCAAACCACAAGTTGGGTTTTCTGGGCTCGCAGAGGTTCAAGAAGAAAGTGGTGGTGCTACTGCTACTGGTACTAATGTGGGTGGTGTAAAGATGCGAATTTTGAGAGCCAACTTATCGATATTGAACAGGTCGAGGAGGGAGAACATGGTGAGGAGGGCTTTGCTTGGATTTAGGATTTCTGGGTTTGTGTTCTGCTTGATCTCTTTCTCGGTTATGGCGGCTGACAAGAACCAGGGTTGGGCTTTAGATTCCTACTATCGGTACAAGGAATTCAGGTCTGTCAATTGTCAGCCCCTCCCTCTGTTTCACGACAAAAGTGTTGCCTACTTTTTTACTCTGGTTTTTATGCTCAGTCAGTTTCTGTCTGATGACTTGTTGCAACATAAACAAAGCTTTGAACTACACAATTTTAGAGTCATTTTGTTGAATTATTTAGTTTCTTTTTTGTTTTTGGGCAAAAATGGTATGTGGGTTTGGGGGATTATAAGGAGATTATTAATTGGAATTGTGAATTTGTAGGTACTGCTTGGCAGTGAATGTGATAGGATTTGTGTATTCAGGGCTGCAAACCTATGATTTAACCTATTTCTTCACCAGCGGAAAACATGTAATGCAGCTTCATCTCCGCCATTACTTTGATTTCTTGATGGATCAGGCAAGTCTCATAAGTCTTTGACTATTTGTGTATGTATAAACAAGAGGCTCTTACATTAATTAATTATCCCACCTAACGTAGCCCCATGCACACGCCCTCCCCCGGCTCCTCGTCTTTGATTATTTTATGCTACAGGAAGTGTTTGCTCTCTCTCTCTCTCTCTCTCTCTCTCTCTCTCTCTCTCTCTCTCGGCATTTTTCTTATAATTATGGGGACCACAGCCTATGAAGGTGGTCCTTCAGCACTTGGATGGTCATTTACTTATTGGTTTACTATACTTTTTTTCCTTTTTGTTGTTGGTTTGTTGTTGATGATTCATGATTTTTATTATTCACATATTGGCCATTGTCCCACACGGAATCGCATCATCAGATAAATTTGGATCAGTTGGTTCTTGACTTTTTCTTTCACTACCTTTTGAGCACCTTTTTTTCTGGCTTTTTCCACAGTAATGATTCAACTTTTGCTTTCTCTGTTTAAAACTGTATCCATTGGTAGAAAATTTACCTCATCTTATAGCGAACATATTGGAATTAACAGCTTAATTACACCATATTTGGAAACCCCAAAAAAAAAAAAAAAAACATTTCAGATGGATTTGTCACACTTGTGAAACTTGGCAGACAGGTTTTTCCTAGAACAGAGGTGGAATTCTGCATTCTGATTACCTGTTGTATGCTATATTATATATAACTTAATGTGGAATTTGGCATGGCAGATTTTGACATACCTTTTGATATCGGCATCTTCATCCGCTGCAATTCGGGCTGACGACTGGGAGTCGAATTGGGGCAAAGACAAGTTCCCAGATATGGCTCGTGCGGCTGTAGCATTGTCCTTCCTTGCCTTTCTTGCCTTTGCCTCCAGCTCCCTCATCTCTGGTTACAAACTTTGTACCCTGAAATCCATCTAGTTCTTCATATACTTACAGATTTACTGAGTTAGATTAGATGGACAGTTAAAAAGTCACTTAATTTTTAAGAAATGTTGCAAATTATGTAGAGAACTTTTATGTTGCATCTGCGTCATGATTCACGGATGATTTGGCACAATGTGTTTTTGGACAATTTAAGATTATTAAGAGTTGCGTAATTGTTAACTTATAACAGTAACTCCTAACAGATACCTGCATAATGGGAAAGAGAGAGGATCACAGTTAACCCAATCTATCCTGGCAATGTTGGATCCAAAAAGAAAAATGGAGTTGCCAATGGGCTTGGTTCTGCAAGACTCGCAGAATGGAACATATGGGCATGTGTATGTATGGACAATGAGAGAGATGATATATGCTGACAATTGGGCTGGATATTAACACATCTACCAAGTACAATTGCAAATTTTAGATGGGTCTGTTTTTTTGCACCCATTTTTCTGCTAACCATACTCCAAAAGGCAAACTTAAAAGGGACATTTTGAAAAAAGCAAAAGGAGAGGAAAAAAATTTAAAAAAAGCAAAAATGGACAAAAATGTCCTTATTTATTTTTAGATTTTCTAAGAAATCCAATACATTTGTATGTCTTTGATTTGAAAGTTGAGTGATTTTTTTGTCTTTTTTGAAAAAGCTTTGGCTTTTTCTAAAAGTGAAAATTTTTTTATGTCTAAAACCTAAAAAACCTAACTTAAAAAGTACTGGTTTTTCTTTTCTTTCCTTCTTATTTTTCTTACTGTCCGTGTGAACCTTAAGAAAAACAAGAAGCGTTGTTCTCAAGCAGTAATGCATCCCGATGCATAATTTCAAGTGTTTTTTCTCCGTTCTTCTTTCTATGGCCACGTATGTAAATATCCAGCTTCCACGTCCTTCTCTTTCATCAACAAAACGACACGCTGTCAAGGGCTCATAGGTCCTCCCTCCCATGATGACATGGTTGTATTAAAGTCCAAGAGCTATCTCAGTGTGTTTACTCATATCACTCATTTGCTTACAAGAAGAAAACCCTTCAATTCCCCTCAAAGTTTGGTTTTTCTGTGCATTTTAGTCATCAATGGCTGCAGTTTCAACTGATTCCATACCCTCTGTAAACAAGGCTTGGGTGTACTCAGAATATGGAAAGGCTGCAGATGTTTTGAAACTTGATCCCAATGTTCCTGTTCCTGAAATAAAGGAAGACCAGGTGCTCATCAAAGTGGTTGCTGCAGCTCTTAACCCAGTTGATTACAAGAGGATGTTTGGGTATTTTAAGGCCACGGACTCTTCTCTACCTGTGAGAGCCTCTTTCTCTTTCATTTTCTTTTAATGCATTTGCTTGTATTTTGATTGGGGTTTTGAAAATAATGTTTATTTTTAGGAATTTATAAGTTTTTATTTTTTTTTTTCCTTTTTAATTGTTTGGCAGTCCAGTCTGAAAATATGGCCTGCTGTTGTTGGATCCATTTTGCTGTATAATTGGCCTTTCTTCTTTTTTGATACAAGTAACAAATTTTTTGCAAATCTAAATACTTAAGGGGGGGGGAAGGTAGATGCTTTGAAGAATCAGAATAAATTTCATCTAGTTGATCATGAAGGAAGTTTTGTCACCTTGTTATGTTTCTATTGCATGTTCCCATTAGCATGTTTATATTCCTAGTAATCAGCTGGAATCAATTTGTTTTGCAGACGGTTCCCGGGTATGATGTTGCTGGTGTGGTGGTGAAGGTGGGAAGCCAAGTAACGAAGTTTAAGGTGGGGGATGAAGTATATGGGGATCTCAATGAGAAAGCTTTGGAGAACCCAACAAGGTTTGGGTCTTTGGCAGAGTACACTGCTGCAACAGAAAGAGTTTTGGCTCTCAAACCCCAAAATCTGAGTTTTGTTGAAGCTGCTAGCCTTCCCCTGGCTATTGAGACTGCCTATGAAGGGCTTGAACGAACTGAATTTTCTGCTGGTAAATCCATTCTTGTTTTAGGAGGCGCTGGGGGAGTGGGAACGCATGTTATTCAGGTAAAGTAGTTTGATTTCTTTTTCCAAAATGTCCTCATGCTTTATATAACTCAATCTTTACATGGAATTAGTTAAGAAGTGCAAACATTTCCACTAATTTGGGCAGCTAGCAAAGCATGTTTTTGGTGCTTCCAAAGTAGCAGCAACTGCAAGCACTAGAAAACTGGAGCTGTTGAGAAGCTTGGGTGCTGATTTGGCGGTCGACTACACCAAGGAGAAGTTTGAGGAATTGCCTGAGAAATTTGATGTGGTATATGACACCGTTGGTAAGATTCTTCATTCTGGTTTCTCAACAATTCTATACATTATGTAATCCATATATGGCATGCACCTACCAACAGGGGAATCTATTAGTTTATTTATTTACCAGGAATGAATCAAAGACTGATATTATTATATGATGTTTTTAAAAAAAAAAAAAAAACAGGGGAGTCTGACAGGGCAGTGAAGGCAGTGAAAGAAGGAGGGAAGGTAGTGACAATAGTACCAGGTCCAGTAGCAGCAGCGGCCTTCATATTTATACTGACTTCAACTGGGACTATATTGGAGAAGCTGAAGCCATACTTGGAGAGTGGGAAGGTGAAGCCGGTGCTTGATCCCACAAGCCCATATCCCTTTTCCAAGACTGTTGAAGCATTTGCTTACCTTGAAACCTCCAGGGCTACAGGGAAGGTGGTTGTGCATCCCATCCCATAAGAAAGATGGAAGAGATTGTGCAGGCAGGCAGGCAATCAGTCAGTTTGTGGGTTATGTATATCTAATCTGCGGGTTGTGTAAACCTAGTGTTGTAGTAATGGGGATGTGAGATGCTTATATATATATTATAATATGAAGTTGGGAGTTTTGCATATGTATATGGGCTGACTTGTGGAAAGTAAGAAAAAGAAGAAATTAAACTTTTTTCGAAGTGCATTGTTCTGTTCTATGACAGGATTTGTAACTTGCTATTCTCTAGCCTAGTTTACAAAGATTTACTTTCGTAAAAAGGATAATTCCTTAGTTAATGATTTGTTACGTATTTCTTATTTCGGCTGTTGAATTGCATTTATTAGATGTGTTAGTAAATTTAATATGCAACATATATTATATTGAGATTAGAAATATGTAATCAATCTTTAACATAAAATATTTATTGGAGAATTCTCCATTCACTTGGATCGACAGGAGAGTCTAACTATATTGTATAGCTAGGATCCATGTTGTATATTTAAAAGAGGTTGACTGGCTTGTCTCTGCCATGTTACAATCCTATCTCACTAAATATTGGGAGATTCTCCGATGAGTATTTAAGTTAAGGATTTGTTATATAGTTCTAATTTCGGTCATTAGATTACATCTAAGAGACTATCAAGTACCAACAAATCTAATGAATGCAATTCAACGGCCAAAAAAAGAAATATGTGACCAATTATTAACATAAAATACTTATTAGAGAATCTCCCTATAAATACTAATTTAGATATACTAATGATAATGATAATACTAATATAATAAAAAAAGATGAACCACAAGTGATAAAGTATCTAAATTCATTATTTCGAGGGATTTTTCACAGCTATGGTCTCTCAACTATACCAGTAATTGCATTTGGGTCACTGAACTCAATTATTAGTTGCAGAGGTCACTCAACTATGTGTTTCGTTGCACCAGCAGTCCTTCTGTCAAGTCCGTTAGTTTTTTATGTTTAAAGTGATGACATAGCAAAATCTATCCAATTATTGATGGGCAAATGTGACTTTTCAATTAGGATTATTTGTAGCAATGATTCCTCAACTATACTCGGAGTTACATTTTGATCACTTAACTCCAAAAAATAGTTATAAAGATCACTCAATTAAGTGTTGTGTTGCACCATTAGTCTCTTTCGTTAGAGAGACTTAACGGTACAACGAAACACATAGTTAAGTGACCTCTGCAACTAATAATTGAGTTCAGTGACCCAAATGTAATTACGGGTATAATTGAGGGACCATAGCTGCGAAAAACCCTTGTTTCGAGTTTCTTTCTTTTTCTTTCTAAACGGCACGCTGTCAAGGTCTCCTCCCTCCCATCCGAGTCTCAGTGTGTCTACTCATCTCACTCATTTGCTTACAAGAAGAAAACCCCTCAATTTCCCTGAAAGTTTGGTTTTTCTGTGCAACAATCATCGATGGCTGCAGCTTTAAGTGATTCCATACCCTCTGTAAACAAGGCTTGGGTGTACTCAGAATATGGACAGTCTGCAGATGTTTTGAAATTTGATCCCAGTGTTGCTGTGCCTGAAATAAAGGAAGACCAGGTGCTCATCAAAGTGGTCGCTGCATCTCTTAACCCAATTGATTTCAAGAGGATGCTTGGGTATTTCAAGGAGATCGACTCTACTCCACATGTGTGAGAGCCTCTTTCTCTTTCATTCTCTTTTAATGCATGTGTTTGTATTTGGAATTGGGGGTTTAAAAATAATGTTAATCCTTAGGATTTTATAGGTTTTTCTTTTTCTTTTTTGTTTGTTGGTTGATCCATTTTGTTTGTTTGTTTGAAAAGATGGCCTGGTGTTGTTGGATCCATTTTACTGTATAATTGCCTCTCTTTTTTTCTTTTTGATACAAGTGATCATGTTTTTGGTCAATTTTGTGGAAATCAAAATACTTGAGAAAAAGGAAGCTGCTTTGAAGAATCAAATTCAATTTCATCTAGTTGATCTGGAAGGAACTTCTGTTACCTTGATATGTTTCCATTGCATGTTCCAGTGTCTTTTCAATTAGCATGCTTAGTGTTACTAGTAATCCAGCTGGGCAAGCAAGTGACAAAGAACGTAGCTAGAATTCTTTTTTCTTAAATCAATTTGTTTTGCAGACGGTTCCTGGGTATGATGTTGCTGGTGTGGTGGTGAAGGTGGGAAGGCAAGTGACGAAGTTTAAGGTGGGGGATGAAGTATATGGGGATCTCAATGAGAATGCTTTGGTGAACCCAAAAAAGTTTGGGTCTTCGGCAAACTTCGAACTTTTAAATGAATACCCAGTTTTCCGTCCCTCTTTCAATCGCAAATACAAAGAACATATAGTTTCTTTCTTGTACACAATATGGCTTGCCGAAGCAAACCTTCCGTCTGTAAACAAGGCTTGGGTTTACATGGAGTACGGAAAACCGGCAGATATGTTGAAACTTGATCCAAACATGCCTCTTCCTCAAGTAGAGGAAGACCAGGTGCTCATCAAGGTGGCTGCTGCAGCACTTAACCCCATTGATCACATGAGGCTTCTTGGGTATTTCAAGGACACTGACAGTGCTCTACCTGTGAGCTTGCTGCCTCTCAGTTTCTCTTTTCCATTTCTTTAATGGCTGTATTTGTAACTTTCTTTGTCTTTTTTTGAATATTTATTTTGCAGACAGTTCCAGAGTATGATGTTGCTGGTGTTGTGGTGAAGCTTGGAAGCCAAGCAAGGAAATTTAAGGCGGGGATGAAGTATATAGGACTATCAATGAGCAAGGTCTAATAAACCTAAAGAAAATTGGGTCGTTAGCAGAGTACACGACTGTGGAAGAAACATTGTTGGCTGTGAAACCCGAAAATCTGAGTTTTGCTGAGGCTGCTAGCCTCCCTGTGGCTATTGAGACCGCCTATGAAGGGCTCGAAGGAGCTGAAATTTCAGCTGGTAAATCCATTCTTGTTTTAGGAGGTACTGGGGGTGTAGGAACCCATGTTATTCAGGTATGTAGTCAATACTTTTATTTCTAATATAATATGGAATTAGTCAAGAAGGGCATATATTCCTTTAATTTAGGCTTCAATAATCTTGCTTGCTCTAATTAAGTATGACTAATTATCAAATACTTGATGTCTAGCAAAGCATGTTTTTGGTGCTTCCAGAGTGGCAGCTACCACAAGCACTAAAAAACTGGATTGGTTGAGGAGCTTGGGTGCTGATCTTGCCATTGATTATACGAAGGACAACTTCGAAGACCTGCCTGAAAATTTTGATGTAGTCTATGATGCAGTTGGTAAATATTTGAACATTCTTCATAATTTCTTCATTGCTGTTCCTTTCTCTGCTGATATATCAAAACAAAACACTTCAATATGGATATAATTCATTCTTCATTTTATTAATTAATATATGGTTTATCTATTTTTATGGTTTGGAAATGAACAAAACAGGGCAGTCGGATAGGGCAATGAAGGAGGTGGAAGAGAGGGGGAAGGTTGTGGCAGTGGTAGATCCAATAACACCACCAGCCTTCATGTTTACGCTGACTTCTTCTGGGTCTATCTTGGAGAAACTCAACCCTTACTTGGAGAGTGGGAAGGTGAAGGTGGTGATTGATCCCAATGGCCCATGTCCCTTTTCAAAGACCCTTGAAGCATTTGCCTATATTGAAGCTAGTAGCAGAGCTATAGGAAAGGTGGTTGTGTATCCCATCCCATCCCCATGAGATACAGAGTTGAGTTTGGCAAGCGAGCATGTGCGCACACACATGTAAATATATATGAGATCCTCATAAATAAAATAAAATATGAAGAAGGGAATGTGAGAAACATAAGTTGGAGTTTAGTTACTTGTTTTTCATGCTACTTGCTTTGTTTTTCGTTACTTGTTGCTTGTTTTTCGTTGCTTGTTTTGCTGCAACGTAATAAGTATCGAAAACACCTTGGCTAAGGTGGTTCCTCTTGACCTTTTTATTGTTTTGCCAATTTTTTTCTTCTTCTTCCCTTCTTTTGTTTTGTTTTTATTTTTGTTTTTGTTTTTGTTTTTTGGTTGTTGTACAAGTTTACCAGTTACACACAGAGATATTCCAATATGGATACAGATAAAGGCAATCCATCAAAAGATTATATTATGTTTGATAACATAACAATTATCTTATATAAATGTTTCCGACCCCGCCGCGGGTGGGGTCCACAACCTTCGACCATATTGAAAGTTCCAAATTAGATTTGGATGGTAAAGTAACATGACATCCAGTGGAGATAAAAATATATAGTAGCAAAGCAATGATGCATGTTGTGGTTTTGAAGGCAACAAGAGCAAATGTCAAAATTTGATTGCCCGTTGCAGCTTTGTTTTACTCCTTTCTTAAATGCGATCCGCACTTACGTTATTACTTTTTACTAGGTGTCAAACTTCACTCAATACACTATCAAAACAAAACTGTAAGTTGTCACAGCTTACGTCATTATCTGGTATGTTACTCGATGAACGAGCCAATCAACAAGTTGTGTTTCTCTAGCCGCTTTCTCCTCTCTGAGTCTCAAATGAACTTCACAGAGAGAGAAGGAAAAAAAAGTGTCGCTACTTCTCCTCCCCATCCTCTCTTCTCGTCTTTTTCTTTTGAGTTAATGAATAGGTTCACAGCTACAACAAAGCTGCTCATGAGGTTGCAATTTTTGCACATAGGGTAGGTGATAATTACTCTTGGGATTTTGTACCTCTAGGTTGGTTGTTTAATACATTAGCTAGAAATGCTAATGTTCGTGTTCACCTTTAATAAAAGTAAAGGTTACTAAGACGTTTTGAATAAGAAACCCCTTGTGGTGATTTTTTTTTTATTTTTATCCATGCTCAAATTGAAGTTTCTCATCACTCCTTTTAGGTTATGTTCTCAAGCAAATTCTTCTCCCAAAACCCACTCTCTAACACTGCTCATGTTCTCTTTTAATTCTACATCTGTCTTTGATCGAGGTTGTTGCAAATCACTCAATTGTTCTTTGGCATGGTTTTTGTTTTCGTTTATATTTTTCGCTATTATAAGCATGTAGATTAATGGAAATCATATTTTCCCCAAATCTGTTACAGATATGGTGGTGGATGTGACCGCAACGACACTTCCTCAGGTGATGGTGGTAGGGTTCATTTAGGCTCATAAGTTGCTTTAAGGTTTCGGTCATATTGAGTTTGTGGGCTTTGTTAGGGCATATGATTAATTGTGGATGTAGTGATGTGGGCTAATAGTTTTAATGCGGCTTTTATTCGCTCTAGTTTTGTTTTTCACATGTGAATTTGTTACCTTCTTAGGATTGGTATTTTAAATGTCTTATATCGTTGAAATTTATTTAATGAAGTTTATCTTTGAAAGAAAAAAAAAAAACAATTTGTGTCCATCTTTACTATGCCACATGTGAAAAACCTAATCATCTTATAGTTTAGACCATGACTTGTATTCAAAAGAACCGAAAAAAAGTATTGCTTTCTCTTCTCTTTTCTTTTTTCTTATTTTTCTTACTGAGTCTGACAAATAAGAAAAACAAGAAGCAAAACTTCAATTGCATACATTTCTTGTGAAAAAAAAAAAAAAAGGGTTTTCCAATTGAATTGTCCTGTTCTCTTCTGGCACATTGAACCTGAGTCATAATATGCATCCAGATGCATAATTTGAAATTTATTTTTCCTTTCTCGTACGTACGTAAATATCCAAGCTTCCACCACATTCTTCTCCTTTACCAACAAAACGACACGCTGTCAGGGTCTCATAGGTCCTTCACCTGGTTGACATTGATCTCTTTCTATTAAAGTGGAAGAGCTATCTGAGTGTGTTTGCTCATCACACTCATCTGCTTACAAGAAGAAAACCCTTCAATTCCCCTCAAAGTTTGGTTTTTCTGTGCATTTTAGTCATCAATGGCTGCAGCTTCAACTGATTCCATACCCTCTGTAAACAAGGCTTGGGTGTACTCAGAATATGGAAAGGCTGCAGATGTTTTGAAACTTGATCCCAATGTTCCGGTTCCTGAAATAAAGGAAGACCAGGTGCTCATCAAGGTGGTTGCTGCGGCTCTTAACCCAGTTGATTACAAGAGGATGTTTGGGTATTTTAAGGCCACTGACTCTCCTCCACCTGTGAGAGCCTCTTTCTCTTTCATGTTCTTTTAACGCATTTGCTTGTATTTTGATTGGTGTCTTGAAAATAATGTTTATTTTTAGGAATTTATAGGTTTTTATTTTTTTTCCTTTTTAATTGTTTGGCAGTCCAGTCTGAAAATATGGCCTGCTGTTGTTGGATCCATTTTGCTGTATAATTGGCCTTTCTTCTTTTTTTATACAAGTAACAAAAATTTTTTTAAAAATTTAAATTCTAAGGGGGGGGGGAAGGTAGATGCTTTGAAGAATCAGAATAAATTTCATATAGTTGATCATGAAGGAAGTTTTGTCACCTTGTTATGTTTCTATTGCATGTTCCCATTAGCATGTTTATATTCCTAGTAATCAGCTGGAATCAATTGTTTTGCAGACGGTTCCCGGGTATGATGTTGCTGGTGTGGTGGTGAAGGTGGGAAGCCAAGTAACAAAGTTTAAGGTGGGGGATGAAGTATATGGGGATCTCAATGACAAAGGTTTGGAGAACCCAACGAGTTTTGGGTCTTTGGCAGAGTACACTGCTGCAGCAGAAAGAGTTTTGGCTCTCAAACCCCAAAATCTGAGTTTTGTTGAAGCTGCTAGCCTTCCCCTGGCTATTGAGACTGCCTATGAAGGGCTTGAACGAACTGAATTTTCTGCTGGTAAATCCATTCTTGTTTTAGGAGGCGCTGGGGGAGTGGGAACACATGTTATTCAGGTAAAGTAGTTTGATTTCTAATTCCAAAATGTCCTCAGGCTTTATATAACTCAATCTGCACATGGAATTATTTAAGAAGTGCAAACATTTCCACTAATTTGGGCAGCTAGCAAAGCATGTTTTTGGTGCTTCAAAAGTAGCAGCAACTGCAAGCACTAGAAAACTGGAGCTGTTGAGAAGCTTGGGTGCTGATTTGGCGGTCGACTACACCAAGGAGAAGTTTGAGGAATTGCCTGAGAAATTTGATGTGGTATATGACACCGTTGGTAAGATTCTTCATTCTGGTTTCTCAACAATTCTATACATTATGTAATCCATATATGGCATGCACCTACCAACAGGGGAATCTATTAGTTTATTTATTTACCAGGAATGAATCAAAGACTGATATTATTATATGATGTTTTTGGAAAAAAAAAAAAAAAAAACAGGGGAGTCTGACAGGGCAGTGAAGGCAGTGAAAGAAGGAGGGAAGGTAGTGACAATAGTACCAGGTCCAGTAGCAGCAGCGGCCTTCATATTTATACTGACTTCAACTGGGACTATATTGGAGAAGCTGAAGCCATACTTGGAGAGTGGGAAGGTGAAGCCGGTGCTTGATCCCACAAGCCCATATCCCTTTTCCAAGACTGTTGAAGCATTTGCTTACCTTGAAACCTCCAGGGCTATAGGGAAGGTGGTTGTGCATCCCATCCCATAAGAAAGATAGAGGAGATTGTGCAGGCAGGCAGGCAATCAGTCAGTTTGTGGGTTATGTATTTCTAATCTGCTGGTTGTGTAAACTTAGTGTTGTAATAATGGGGATGTGAGATGCTTATATATATTATAATATGAAGTTAGGAGTTTTGCATATGTATATGGGCTGACTTGCGGAAAGCAAGAAAAATAAGAAAATTAAACTTTTTTTCCAAGTGCATTCTTCTGTTCTATGACAGGATTTGTAACTTGCTATTCTCCGGCCTAGTTTACAAAGATTTATCTTCGTAAAAAGGATAATTCTTTAGTTAAGGATTTGTTACATATTTCTTATCTCGATCGTTGGATTGCATTCATTAGATGTGTTAATAGATTTAATATGCAATATATATTGAATTGAGATTAGAAATATATAATCAATCATTAACATAAAATACTTATTGGAGAATTCTCCATTCACTTGGATCGACACGAGAGTCTAACTATATTGTATAGCAAGGATCCATGTTGTATATTTAAAAGAGGTTGACCGGCCTGTTTCTACCATGTTACAATCCTAGCTTACTAAATACTGGGGGATTCTTTAATGAGTATTTAAGTTAAAGATTTGTTACACAGTTCTAATTTCGGTCGTTGGATTGCATCTAAAAGACTACCAACACATTTAATGAATGCAATCCAACGATAAAAAATAGAAGTATGTAACCAATCCTTAACATAAAATTCTTAAGAGAATCTCCCTCTAAATACTAATCTTAGATATACTAATGATAATGATAATACTAATATAATAAAAAAACGAGCCATCTTTTTTTTGGTTTACATTTCCCGGTTGCGTTGCTACCGCGTCTCTTGTGGCCAAAGAACCTCAAGTGATAAAGTATCTAGATTCATTATTTCGAGTTTCTTTCTAAACGGCACGCGGTCAAGGTCTCCTCCCTCCCATCCGAGTGTGTCTACTCATCTCACTCATTTGCTTACAAGAAGAAAACCCCTCAATTTCCCTGAAAGTTTGGTTTTTCTGTGCAACAATCATCAATGGCTGCAGCTTTAAGTGATTCCATACCCTCTGTAAACAAGGCTTGGGTGTACTCAGAATATGGACAGTCTGCAGATGTTTTGAAATTTGATCCCAGTGTTGCTGTGCCTGAAATAAAGGAAGACCAGGTGCTCATCAAGGTGGTTGCTGCATCTCTTAACCCAATTGATTTCAAGAGGATGCTTGGGTATTTCAAGGAGATCGACTCTCCTCCACCTGTGAGAGCCTCTTTCTCTTTCATTCTCTTTTAAATCATTTGCTTGTATTTGGAATTTGGGGTTTGAAAATAATGTTAATCCTTACAATTTTATAAGTTTTTCTTTTTCTTTTTTGTTTGTTTGTTTGATCCATTTTGTTTGTTTGTTTGAAAAGATGGCCTGGTGTTGTTGGATCCATTTTACTGTATAATTGCCTCTCTTTTTTTCTTTTTGATACAAGTGATCATGTTTTTGATCAATTTTGTGTAAATCAAAATACTTGAGAAAAAGGAAGCTGCTTTGAAGAATCAAATTCAATTTCATCTAGTTGATCTGGAAGGAACTTCTGTTACCTTGATGTGTTTCCATTGCATGTTCCAGTGTCTTTTCAATTAGCATGCTTAGTGTTACTAGTAATCCAGCTGGGCGGGCAAGTGACAAAGAATGTAGAAAGAATTCTTGTTTTTTGAATTAATTTGTTTTGCAGACTGTTCCAGGGTATGATGTTCCTGGTGTGGTGGTGAAAGTGGGAAGTCAAGTAACAAAGTTTAAGGTGGGGATGAAGTATATGGGGATCTCAATGAGAATGCTTTGGTGAACCCAAAAAAGTTTGGGTCTTTGGCAGAGTACACTGCTGCAGAAGAAAGAGTTTTGGCTCTGAAACCCAAAAATCTGAGTTTTGTTGAAGCTGCTAGCCTTCCCCTGGCTCTGGAGACCGCCTATGAAGGGCTTGAACGGACTGAGTTTTCTGCTGGTAAATCTATTCTTGTTTTAGGAGGCGCTGGGGGAGTGGGAACACATGTTATTCAGGTAAAGTAAATTTATATCTAGTTCCAGAATGTCCTTAAACTGATATGGAATTAGTCAAGAAGTGCAAACATGTGCACTAATTTGGGCTCTGATTAAGTAGAGCTGAATATCTATACAATTGATTATATCTAACAGATAAATGTTTTTTTTTTTAACGTGAGGCAGCTAGCGAAACATGTTTTTGGTGCTTCAAAAGTAGCAGCTACTGCAAGCACTAAAAAACTGGATTTGCTGAGAAGCTTGGGTGCTGATTTGGCTATTGATTACACCAAGGATAACTTTGAAGACCTGCCTGAGAAATTTGATGTGGTATATGATGCAGTTGGTAAGATTCTTCATTGTTGTTTCTTAACAATTCTATACATAATGTTTTCATCCATATGAGGCATGTACCCACCAACTGAAGTCTGGAAAGGAAATAATATATCAATGTTATAGCCTATTGGTTTATTTACCAGGAATGAGTCAAAGAATGAAAATATATGATGTTTTTATTTCCAAAAACAGGGCAGTCTGACAGGGCAGTGAAGGCAGTGAAAGAAAACGGGAAGGTTGTAACAATCTTTGGTTCAGTAACGCCACCAGCGCTCACATTTGTGCTGACTTCAACTGGGACTATATTGGAGAAGCTGAAGCCATACTTGGAGAGTGGGAAGGTGAAGCCGGTGCTTGATCCCACAAGCCCATATCCCTTTTCTAAGACTGTTGAAGCATTTACCTACCTTGAAACCTCCAGAGCTACAGGAAAGGTCGTTGTGCATCCCATCCCTTAAGATGATAGAGATTGTGCAGGCAGGAAATCAGTCAGTTTGTGTTTTATATATATTTGTAATCTTCTGCTGGTTGTTTAAACTTGAAATCTTGTAATAATGGTTGTGCATCCCATCCCGTAAGATGATGCATGTTTTATGTACTTATATGGAGTTGGTTGGGAGTTTGGGTACTTTGCACTGTTTTCTTCCTGGTTGCTCATTGCAGGTAACAAAGTTGAACGGTCAGATATAACCTTGTTAATTTTGTGATCAAGTGGGGTAGAAACCACTTCATATATTCATCGTATTGGCCCCTGGCTATTTCCCTTCCTAATTTTTTGAACATTACCACCCACTTCACAGAAGATTAACACTGTTAAATTAGCCACCAACTTTGGGGACAGCAGATGTTTTGGTTAACTCTGTAAAACAAAAATGGCCCAAACTGGAAAAACCTAACTCAGGAAATCAGCATTGAACAAGAACATATTAAACTGCAATTGTCACAGCTTTCGTCATATCTGCCCATTAAAGTAATTACATATTTGACTTAGTTGAGGTAATATCAAACTATGAACGTACCACAAAATAATATGCATCTACAGGCATAAATACAAAATTCAAACTTCAAACTTACAAATAAATACCTAGTTTTCCGTCCCTCTTTCCATCACGAATAGAAAGAACATATAGTTTCTTTCTTGTACACAATATGGCTTGCGGAAGCAAACCTTCCCTCTGTAAACAAGGCTTGGGTTTACGTGGAGTATGGAAAACCGGCAGATATGTTGAAACTTGATCCAAACATGCCTCTTCCTCAAGTAGAGGAAGACCATGTGCTCATCGAGGTGGCTGCTGCAGCACTTAACCCCATTGATCACATGAGGCTTCTTGGGTATTTCAAGGATACTGACAGTGCTCTACCTGTGAGCTTGCTGCCTCTCAGTTTCTCTTTTCCATTTCTTTAATGGCTGCATTTGTAACTTTCTTTGTGTTTTTCGAATATTTATTTTGCAGACAGTTCCAGGGTATGACGTTGCTGGTGTTGTGGTGAAGCTTGGAAGCCAAGCAAGGAAATTTAAGGCGGGGATGAAGTATATAGGACTATCAATGAGCAAGGTCTAATAAACCTAAAGAAAGTTGGGTCGTTAGCAGAGTACAGGGCTGTGGAAGAAACATTGTTGGCTGTGAAACCCAAAAATCTGAGTTTTGCTGAGGCTGCTAGCCTTCCTGTGGCTATTGAGACCGCCTATGAAGGGCTCGAACGAGCTGAAATTTCAGCTGGTAAATACATTCTTGTTTTAAGAGGTGCTGGGGGTGTAGGAACCCATGTTATTCAGGTATATAGTCAATACTTTTATTTCTAATATAATATGGAATTAGTCAAGAAGGGCATATATTCCATTAATTAGGCTTCAATAATCTTGCTTGCTCTAATTAAGTATGACTGATTATCAAATACTTGATGTCTAGCAAAGCATGTTTTTGGTGCTTCCAGAGTGGCAGCTACTGCAAGCACTTAAAAACTGGATTGGTTGAGGAGCGTGGGTGCTGATCTTGCTATTGATTATACGAAGGACAACTTCGAAGACCTGCCTGAGAAATTTGATGTGGTCTATGATGCAGTTGGTAAATATTTGAACATTCTTCATAATTTCTTCATTGCTGTTTCTTTCTCTGCTGATATATCAAAACAAAACAGGGCAGTCGGATAGGGCAATGAAGGCAGCGAAAAGAGGGGGGGAAGGTTGTGGCAGTGGTAGGTCCAATAACACCACCAGCCTTCATGTTTACGCTGACTTCTTCTGGGTCTATCTTGGAGAAACTCAACCCTTACTTGGAAAGTGGGAAGGTGAAGGCAGTGATTGATCCCAATGGCCCATATCCCGTTCCTAAGACCCTTGAAGCATTTGCCTATCTTGAAGCTAGTAGCAGAGCTATAGGAAAGGTGGTTGTGTATCCCATCCCATCCCCATGAGATACAGAGTTGGAGTTTGGCAAGCGAGCATGTGCGCACACACACGTAAATATATATGAGATCCTGATAAATAAAATAAAATATGAAGAAGGGAATGTGAGAAACATGTTACATAAGTTGGAGTTTAGCTACTTGTTTTTCATGCTACTTGCTTTGTTTTTCGTTATTTGTTGCTTGTTTTGCTGCAACGTAATAAGGATCGAAACTACACCTTGGCTAAGGTGGTTCCCCTTGACCTTTTTATTGTTTTGCCAATTTTTTTCTTATTCTTCCCTTATTTTGTTTTTTTTGTTGTTGTACAAGTTTACCAGTTACACACACAGATATTCCACTACGGATACAGATAAAGGCAAATCCATCAAAAGATTATATTTGATAACATAACAATTATGTTTGATAAATGTTTCCAACCCCGCCGCGGGTGGGGTCCACAACCTTCGACCATATTGAAAGTTCCAAATTAGATTTGGATAGTAAAGTAACGATGTTAATGACAGCATCTGTGGTTAAAGTGTCAAACATCCAGTGGAGATTAAAATATATAGTAGCAAAGCAATGATGCATGCTATGATTTTCAAGGCAGCAAGAGCAAATGTCAAAATTTGATTACCCGTTGCAGCTTTGTTTCTCCTTTCTTAAATGCGATCCGCACTTACGTTATTACTTTTTACTAAGTGTCAAACTTTACTCATACACAATCAAAACAAAACTGTAAGTTGTCACAGCTTACGTCATTATCTGGTATGTTACTCAATGAACGAGCCAATCAACAAGTGTCAAAGGAAACCCTACATAGGGAGGGAAGGAGAAAAAAATGTCACTACCTCTCCCACCCGTCCTCTTTTCTCGTCTTTTCCTTTTAAATTAGTGAATAAGTTCACAGCTGCAACAAAGTCTCTCAAGAGGTTGCAACTTTTGCGTGTAGGGGAGGTGGTAGTTACTCTTGGAATTTTGTACCTCCAGATTGGTTGTTTAATACCTTAACTCGAGATGCTAATGTTCGTGTTCGCCTTTAATAAAAGTATTTGATTCTTGGGATATATATATATAAGTTCATTGGGACATTTTGAATAAGAAATCCTTTGTGGTGATTTTTTTTTTTTTTTTTAATCCATGCTCAAATTGAAGTTTCTCATCACTCATAATAGGTTATATTCTCAAGCAAATCCTTCTCCCAAAACCCACTCTCTAACACTGCTCATGTCCGCTTTTAATTCTACATCGTCTTTGACCGAGGTTGCTGCAAATCACTCAATTGTTATTTGGCATGGTTCTTGTTTTCGTTTATTTTTTTCGCTATTATATGTGGAAATCATATTTTCCCCAAATCTGTTGCGAATACGGTGGTGGGTGTGGCTGCGATGACACTTCTTCGAGTGGTGGTGGTAGGGTTGATTTAGGATCATGAGTTGCTTTAGAGTTTTGGTCATGTTGGGTTTGTGGACTTTGTTTGAGCATATGATTAATTGTGAATGTGGTGATGTGGGCTAGCAGTTTTAATCCGGCTTTTGTCTGCTGTAGTTTTGTTTTTCACATGTCATTTTGTTACCCTTTTGGAATTGGTATTTTAAATGTCTTATACGGCTGAAGTTTATTTAATGAAGTTTATCTTTGAAAAAAAAAAAAAAAAAAACAATTTGTGTCTGTCTTTACTATGGCAAATAGTCAAACTATGCCACGTGTGAGAAACCTTATCATCTTGTAGTTTAAATCATGACTTGTATTCAAAAGAATAGAAAAAAAGTATACAAATTTATAAATAAACCCAATCCTAGACATGTATTTATAAAAAAACCCAAGCACTATTTAAACATAGAAACACACCCAAAATTAACCCCAAAGTCAACTTTTTGGGTGTGTTTATAAATAGGTTTTGAGTGTGTGTAATGATGGGTTTTGGGTGTGTTTATATGTTTAAATAGTGCTTGGGTTTTTTTATAATTTCAACCCCCATTTTGGGTGTTTTAGTGAAACTCCCAAGTATTGCTTTTTCTTCTCTTTCCTTCTCCTTATTTTTCTTACTGAGTGTGACAAATAAGAAAAACAAGAAGCAAAACTTCAATTGCATACATTTCTTGTGAAAAAAAAGGTTTTCCAATTGCATTGTCCTGTTCTCTTCTGGCACAATGAACCTGAGTCATAATATGCATCCAGATGCATAATTTGACATTTATTTTTCCTGTCTTCTTTCTATCGCCACGTACGTACGTAAATATCCAAGCTTCCCCCACATTCTTCTCCTTCACCAACAAAACGACACGCTGTCAGGTTCTCATAGGTCCTCCCTCCCATGATGACCTGGTTGATATTGATCTCTTTCTATTAAAGTGGAAGAGCTATATGAGTGTGTTTGCTCATCACACTCATTTGCTTCCGACAAGAAAACCCTTCAATTCCCCTCAAAGTTTGGTTTTTCTGTGCATTTTAGTTATCAATGGCTGCAGCTGCAACTGATTCCATACCCTCTGTAAACAAGGCTTGGGTGTACTCAGAATATGGAAAGTCTGCAGATGTTTTGAAACTTGATCCCAATGTTCCTGTGCCGGATATAAAGGAAGACCAGGTGCTCATCAAGGTGGTTGCTGCAGCTCTTAACCCAGTTGATTACAAGAGGATGTTTGGGTATTTTAAGGCCACCGACTCTCCTCTACCTGTGAGAGCCTCTTTCTCTTTCATTTTCTTTTAATGTATTTGTTTTTATTTTGAATTGGGTTTTAATGAAGGAAGTTTTGTCACCTTTTTATGTTTCTATTGCATGTTACCATTTAGCATGTTTACTGTTACTAGTAATACAGCAGGGCTGGCAAGTGACAAAGAATGTAGCAAGAATTCTTGTTTATTGAATTAATTTGTTTTGCAGACTGTTCCAGGGTATGATGTTGCTGGTGTGGTGGTGAAAGTGGGAAGCCAAGTAACAAAGTTTAAGGTGGGGGATGAAGTATATGGGGATCTCAATGAGAAAGCTGCGCAGCCAAAAAAGTTTGGGTCTTTGGCAGAGTACACTGCTGCAGAAGAAAGAGTTTTGGCTCTGAAACCCAAAAATCTGAGTTTTGTTGAAGCTGCTAGCCTTCCCCTGGCTATTGAGACTGCCTATGAAGGGCTTGAACGAACTGAATTTTCTGCTGGTAAATCCATTCTTGTTTTAGGAGGAGCTGGGGGGGTGGGCACACATGTTATTCAGGTAAAGTAATTTTATTTCTAATTCCAAAATGTCTTGAGGCTATATATACCACAAACTGTATATGGAATTAAAGTGAAAACATTTCCACTAATTTGGGCAGCTAGCAAAGCATGTTTTTGGTGCTTCAAACGTAGCAGCAACTGCAAGCACTAGAAAACTGGAGCTGTTGAGAAGCTTGGGTGCTGATTTGGCTGTCGACTATACCAAGGAGAAGTTTGAAGAATTGCCTGAGAAATTTGATGTGGTATATGACACCGTTGGTAAGATTCTTCATTCTGGTTTCTTTAACAATTCGATAAATGATGTCATCCATATAAGGCATGCACCCACCAACAGGGGAGTTTATTGGTTTATTTATTTACCAGGAATGAATCAAAGACTCATATTATTTTATGATATTTTTGACCCAAAAAAAAATTTACAGGGGAGTCTGATAGGGCAGTGAAGGCAGTGAAAGAAGGTGGGAAAGTATTGACAATAGTATCAGGTCCAGCAGCACCACCGGTCGTCCATTTTGCACTGACTTCAACTGGGACTGTATTGGAGAAGCTGAAGCCATACTTGGAGAGTGGGAAGGTGAAGCCGGTGCTTGATCCCACAAGCCCATATCCCTTTTCCAAGACTGTTGAAGCATTTGCCTACCTTGAAACTTCCAGGGCTACAGGGAAGGTGGTTGTGCATCCCATCCCATAAGAAAGATGATAGAGATTGTGCAGGCAGGCAGGCAGGCAGGCAATCAGTCAGTTTGTGAGTTATGTATTTGTAATCTGCTGGTTGTGTAAACTTAAAAGTGTTGTAACATGTAATAGTGGGGATGTGAGATGCTTATATGTATTATATATGAAGTTGGGAGTTTTGCATATATGGGCTTGTGAAAAATAAAAAAAATAAGAAATTAAACTTTTTCCAAGTGCATTGTTCTGAGACAGGATTTGTAACTTGTTCTCTTGCGTGAAAAGCATAATTCATTCAGATCGACACGAGAGTCTAATCAGTCAGTTTGTGTTTTATGTATTTGTAATCTGCTGCTGGTTGTTTAAACTTCAGGTCTTGTAATAATGGGATGTGAGATGATGTATGTTTTATATACTTATATGGAGTTGGTTGGGAGTTTGGGTACTTTGCACTCTGTTTTCTTCCTAGTTGCTCATTGCTGTGTTCATAAAGTTGAACGATTTAGATCTGGTAACAAAGTTGAACAGTCAGATGTACCCTTGTTAATTTTGTGGTATGGTGGGGTAGAAACGACTTCATTTATTCATCTAATTGTCTCCTGGCTATTCCCTTCCTAATTGTTTGAACATGTCCACCCACCTCACAGAAGATTAAAACGGTTAAGTTAGCCACCAACTTTGGGGATAGCAGATTTTTTGGTTAACGCTGTAAACAAAAACGATGGAAACCGCCCAAACTAGAAAAACCTGTCTCAGGAAATCAGCATTGAACAAAAACATATTAAACTGCAAATTGTTACAGCTTTCGTCATATCCGCCATTGAAGTAATAACATTTGACTTAGTTGAGGTAATATCAAACTATGAATGAACCCTAAAAGTAAACGCATCTACATGCATAAATCCAAATTTCAAACTTCAAACCTATTATTAATAAAATACCCAGTTTCCGTACCTCTTTCCATCACAGAGAGAAAGAACAGAGAGTTTTCTTCCTTGTACGCACAATATGGCAGCGGAAGCAAATGTTCCCTCTGTAAACAAGGCTTGGGTGTACGCAGAGTACGGAAAACCTGCAGATGTGTTGAAACTTGACCCAAACGCGCCTCTGCCTCGAGTAGAGGAAGACCAGGTGCTCATCAAGGTGGCTGCTGCAGCACTTAACCCAGTTGATCACAAGAGGCTTCTTGGGTATTTCAAGGACACTGACACTGCTCTACCTGTGAGCTTGCTGCCTCTTACTTTTTCTTTTCCATTTCTCTAATTCATGCATTCGTAAATTTTTCTGTCTTTTCTAATATTTATTTTGCAGGCAGTTCCAGGGTATGATGTTGCTGGTGTTGTGGTGAAGCTTGGAAGCCAAGCAAGGAAATTTAAGGTGGGGGATGAAGTATATGGGACTATCAATGAGCAAGGTATAATAAACCTAAAGAAAGTTGGGTCCTTAGCAGAGTACACGGCTGTGGAAGAAAGATTGTTGGCTGTGAAACCCAAAAATCTGAGTTTTGCTGAGGCTGCCAGCCTTCCCGTGGCTATTGAGACTGCCTATGAAGGGCTCCAACGAGCTCAAATTTCAGCTAGTAAATCCATCCTTGTTTTAGGAGGTGCTGGGGGTGTAGGAACTCATGTTATTCAGGTATATAATCAATACTTTTATTTCTAATATATTATGGAATTAGTCAAGAAGGGCATATATTCCGTTAATTTAGGCTTCAATAATCTTGCTTGCTCTAATTAAGTACAACTGATTATCAAATAATTGATGTTTTTTTTTTCATGTTGGGCAGCTAGCAAAACATGTTTTTGGTGCTTCCAGAGTTGCAGCTACCGCAAGCACTAAAAAACTGGATTGGTTGAGGGGTTTGGGTGCTGATCTTGCTATTGATTATACCAAGGACAACTTCGAAGACCTGCCTGAGAAATTTGATGTAGTCTATGATGCAGTTGGTAAATATTTGAACGTTCTTCATTGCTGTTTCTTTCTCTGCTGATATATCAAAACAAAACACTTCAATATGGATATAATTCATTCTTCATTTTATTAATTAATTAATTTATGGTTTATCTGCTTTCGTGTTTTTTGAAAATTAACAAAACAGGACAGTCAGATAGGGCAGTGAAGGCAGTGAAAAAGGGGGGGAAGGTTGTGACAGTGGCAGGCCCAATAACACCACCAGCCTTCATGTTTATGCTGACTTCTAGTGGGTCTATCTTGGAGAAACTCAATCCATACTTGGAGAGTGGGAAGGTGAAGGCGGTGATTGATCCCAATGGCCCATATCCCTTTTCTAAGACCCTTGAAGCATTTGCCTATCTTGAAGCTAGTAGCAGAGCTATAGGAAAGGTGGTTGTGTATCCCATCCCATCCCCATGAGATACAGAGTTAAGAGTTTGGCAAGCGAGCATATGCGCGCACACACACGTAAATATTTATGAGATACTCATAAATAAAATAAAATATGAAGAAGGGAATGTGAGAAACATGTTACATAAGTTGGAGTTTAGTTACTTGTTTTCCATGCTACTTGCTTTGTTTTTCGTTACTTGTTTTGCTGCAATGTAATAAGGATCGAAAACACCTTGGCTAAGGTGGTTCCCCTTGACCTTTTTATTGTTTAGCCAAAATCTTCTTCCCTTCTTTTGTTTTTTTATTGTTGTTGTACAAGTTTACCAGTTAAACACAGAGATGGCTACAGACAAAGGCAATCCATCAAAAGATTATATTATGTTTGATAACATAACAATTATGAAATCCACCATCTTCTAACTAATAATATATATATGTACATGATGGACCATTATATAATTCGATAAATGTTCTCTCACCGGCCTCCACCCCGCCGCCGGTGGGATCCACCACCTTCTTCCTCTTTCAGTTTGTCTTAGTTTTCTTTCGCAATCTTTAATTAATGAGAGCATCTGTTGTTCAAGTGTCAAACATAACATCCAGTGTAGTTAAAAATATATAATAGCAAAGCAATGATGCATGGGTTTTGATTTTGAAGGCAGCAAGAGCAAATGTCAAAATTTGATTGCCCATTGCAGCTTGTTTTTTAGCTTTTGAGATTATGACAGATTAATGTATTATTTTTTACTTGCTCAAAACAAAACCAGTAAATAATTAAATACCCAATCTCCCTCCCCATTTTCCATCTCATTATTTGGCTTTCTAAAAAGCAGGGTCTGGTTGGTTTCTTGTTCTACCACAATTAACCAAAGTTTCTTTCTTGTACATCCAACATGGCTGAGGCTTCATGTGTATCCACCACACCACCCTCAGTAAACAAGGCTTGGATTTACAGAGAACATGGAGAAACTGCACATGTTTTGAAGTTTGAAACAAATGTGGCTGTTCCTCAAATAAAGGAAGACCAGGTGCTGATCAAGGTTGTTGCAGCAGCTCTTAACCCAATTGATGCCAAGAGGATCCTTGGCGTTTTCAGGGCCACTGACACTGCTCTGCCTGTGAGCTCACTCAACTCAGCTGCCCCCTCTTCATTCTTCTCTTTTCATTTTTCCATAATTAAATATTAACTAACTAAAAACTTATCATTATGAATTTATGAATCTGATTTGTTTGCAGACAGTTCCAGGGTTTGATGTGGCTGGTGTGGTGGTGAAGTTGGGAAGCAAAGCCAGCAAATTTAACATTGGGGATGAAGTGTATGGAGATATCAATGAGGAGGGTAGCATAAACCTGAAGAAGTTTGGGACTTTGGCAGAGTACACTGCTGCAGAAGAAAGATTGTTGGCTCTGAAACCCAAAAACCTCGGCTTTGTGGAAGCTGCTAGCCTTCCAATGGTTATGGAGACTGCCTATGAAGGGCTGGAACGAGTTGGGCTTTCTGCTGGCCAGTCCATTCTTGTTTTGGGAGGCGCTGGGGGGCTGGGCACACATGTTATTCAGGTACATATTCATTAATTAATTTTGTGGGGCCTTACCTAAGGTGAATTTTTTTTTTTTAAAAGGTGTTTAAAAAACCCCCCCCCCCCCCCCCCCCCAAAACAAAAAACACATATATTGTTTTGTTTGTTTTTAGGTTAATGTTTGTGTTAATTTTTTGGCAGCTAGCAAAGCATGTTTTTGGTGCCTCCAGAGTAGCAGCCACTGCAAGCACTAAAAAACTTGATTTGCTGAGAAGCTTGGGTGCTGATTTGGCTATTGATTACACTGAGGAGAATGTGGAAGACCTGCCTGAGAAATTTGATGTGGTGTTTGATGCAGTCGGTAATTAATTAAGAACTATTCTTCATTCTTCATTTCTATTTGTTTACTAATTATGTGAAATGAAAGCGAAATATTTCTAAAATGAACAAAAAAACAGGTCAGTCGGACAAAGCAGTGAAAGCAGTGAAAGAAGAGGGGAGGGTTGTGACAATATTTGGTCCAATAACACCACCAGCCTTCATGTTTGTGCTGACCTCAACTGGGTCCAATTTAGAGAAACTCAAGCCTTACTTGGAGAGTGGGAAGGTGAAGCCAGTGCTTGATCCCACAGGCCCATATCCATTTTCTAAGACCCTTGAAGCATTTGCCTACCTTCAAACTTCCAGGGCTACTGGAGGAAAGGTGGTTGTGTATCCCATCCCCTGACCCTTGGCTGAGATCAATTAGAGTTTATGTCTCGTATAATAAATATATATACGCTTAATCTTGGTTTAATTACTAGCTACTTGTATGTAGTTAGGGAATGCAAGATTGATGTGGTATAATATAAGTTGGAGTTTATAATTTGTATCCCCCTTTGTTATGAGAAATACTTCTCTGGCTCCAAGGCAATGTCTATATTTATAAGCATTCACAATGGTTATTCAATAGATGTCAAATAGTTCATAGTTCAATATTGAATTATTTTCGCATCTATTGAATTGAACTGCAGTTTTACTTGTAATGGTATAGTTCAATAGATTCATATCAATAGTTATATTTACTTACATGTTTTGTTTACATACTCAAATAAAATTTATTAACACTAAAAAATTGTATCATTGAAATATTTTCAAAGAGATCTTTAAAAAGAGACCAATTTTGAATATATTTGAAAAAACAAATTAATTATTATTTTTTTTCTATTGCATTGAACTATTGAACAATCATTGTAGATGCTTTTAACAACATAATGCATTAATTGCTATATTTTATATATTTTTTATTGACATGTGGATCTCATGGTTAGTCTATTGCAATTGCAATAGAGGGTTCATCACGTGGCACTCTTTATTGCCATTGCATCTATTGCAATGAACTAAATCACACCATTGCAAATGAGATTTTATTGTTTTATTTCAATTTCATGCAATAAAATTGTATTGCTTCTAACCATTACAAATGCTCTTATGTAACCTCATGAGAGAGTGATATTGGCATAGGGGCATGAAGTATTTCCCTTTTTTTTTTTTTTTGGCCCTTTTTTTTTATTTTATTGTTCTACAAGTTTACCAGTTACACAGACATTCCACTACGGATACAGATAAAGGCAATCCATCAAAAGATTATATTATGTTTGATAACATAACAATTAGGAAATCCACCATCTTTTAACTAAGGCTTAACTCTTGATTTGCCGCCTAAACTTGTACTTAATTTTCTATTTACCCATTATTATTATTTTTTTTGGTATAGAAAATTAAATATATTAACTTTTTTTTTTCTCCAATTTTCTCTATCCCATCTAAATCCTCAACATTTCATCTAACTTTATGTTAAATCATTTAACAAATTAATTTTTGGAAAAAATTGAAGAAAAAAAAATAACAAATTCTGTGGATCCCACTTAACCAAACCCAATGCCAACCCCACATCCCTCCCCCCCAACCCAAAGAACTCATCCCTCATTGTCATTCCCCTTCTCTCTTTTTTTTTTTTCTCTATTTATTAGGGGGGGGAGATTTGAACTTGTGATCTCGTCCAACACTAAAAAAAAAAAAAATCCAATAGAATAAAAACTATGTGAGGACATATATATATATATATATATATATATATACAGAGAGCTTACATTGAGGGACATCCTTTGTAGGCTCCACTCCGGATTGTATTTCACTAATCTAAACCGTCTGTTTTGTAGATACTCATTCAAAGATCATCTCTACAAAAAAATCACTTGAATCCGATATCATTTGACCACTCAATTGAGTTATTGAAATTTTAGTACTTTCTTGAAGCACCGTGTTCATTGATTTTGTAAAACACAATTGGATGTCGAAACGGTTTCTGATTTGTCTAATTTTTTGTAAGGATGATCTATGAATGAATACCTAAAAAATGGATGGTTTGGATCATTAGGAAAAAAATTGTAGAGTACCTTAATGGGCGTCCCTCAAATAAAATTATTTGAGGGATCGCTCAATAGAAGGGGACTGTATATATATATATATCAATTTTTTAAAGTTTTTCATTTTATTTTTCAGTATTTATATATTTTTTAACGTGCAAAATGACAATTTTGCCCTTATATTTAATGGTAAGTTGGATGAAATGTTGCAGATTTAGACGTCAAGGGGTAAATTGGGTGAAAAAAAAGCAGTTCATATCCTTAATTTTAATAAAGGATAAATCAAAAATTAGGTACAAATTTAAGGAACAAATCAAGAGTTAAGCCTTTAATTAATAATATACTATATAATATTTACATGATAGACCAAATGCTTCCACCCCGCCGACGGTGGGACCCACCCCAGCTTCTAGTTCCTCTTTCTGTCTTAGTTTTGTTTCTTAATCTTTAATTTGTTATAAAATCACCATTTTCAATAACCATGGTAGCCACAACTTTCGACGGTCGACCATATTGAAAGTTCCAAATTAGATAGTAAAGTGACTATATTAATGACAGCATCTGTGGTTGAAGTGTCACCCATCCAGTGGAGATAAAAATATATAGTAGCAAAGCAATGATGCATGTTAGAGCTCCAATAGAAACAACATATCACGCATGGGTTTTGATTTTCAAGGCAACAAGAGCAAACGTCAAAATTTGACTGCCCGTTGCAGCTTTGTTTCACTCTATTCGTAAATGTGATCCGCACTTACGTTATTAATTTTTACAAAGTGTCACATTTTACTTGTATTCGTTTCGTGTTAGGATCATATATAGGTTATAAATATTTAATTTAAATTTAATTAATTAAATAAATGTGTCGTGTTGGGTTGACCTGCTAATTCCTCGTGCGAGTTTCGAGTCATGTATTAAGTTGATCTACTAAGAGTATCTCTAAGGAAGATGTTAAATACCAAACATCAAATTTAAATTTGATGGCTGATGTAGCAATTTGACATCTTACACAGCTTTACACTTCATCCGATATGTCAAATTAAATTATTACTTTATTACATTTTAGCGTTGATTCATTTTTAATTAATAAGAAAAGAAAAGAAAAAATAATAAAATATTCATTTGACATCTTGCTTTTAGGATGTCAAAAATAACATCTCAACCTCCAGTCTTCATTCCACATCAGCTTTGACATATCGGTTGTAGTGATGCGAGATGTTATTTTTAACTGTTAAATATCTATGTGGTACGTTTAACACATCGGAGCATCTCCAACCAATATATCAAATTGTCATATAGATATGAAATAGCAAAAATTCAAATTTTACATTTTACATTTGACATCTTCCTTTGAGACGCTCTATGTGATAAACTAGTAACTAGCGGGATAAAAATGTAGACAAAAAATAAAGTAGAAAAAGAAATTACTATTCAAATAATTTTGATAATTTAACAAGTAATAAAATGATACTGATTATATTTTGCCTCTCTCTATTTATGAAAATTAAGAAAAAGAGATTAAAAAATTAGAAAAATGAAGAAAATGAAGAAGAAACAAAGAAATTGGTTGGCAGGTTACATATTTTAGCCAGTTTGTGGGTTGAATCCTTTAATAAACCTATTATGTAGATATTTTAGCAGGTTGGTGGGTTGACTCGAAACCCACTTATTTATTAAATGGATCATAGCAGGTTGACTTGAAAATTTATTCGTGCGGATTAATCTGCTCATTTTCTGTGTGGATTTCGAATCGTGTCGGAAATTGCGACCCCATACACTATCAAAACAAAACCAGTAAATTGTCACAGCTTACGTTATTATCTGTATGTTACTGGATGAACGAACCAATTAACAATTTGTGTTCGTCTTTAGAGCGGCGACGAGTCAAACTATGCAGACATGATTGAATGAAAGTTCAAACTTGAAACAGATATAAATACCCATTTTCCAACACAACAGATTACACAAACAGACAATCCCATCTCATTCTCTGGCTTTCTAAAAAAGCAGGCTCTGTTTTATTTTAAAGTGGTTTCTATAAAGTTCCTTCTTGTTCTACCACAACCAAAGTTCCTTTCTTGTACATCCAGCATGGCTTCGTGTGTATCCACACCACCCTCTGTAAACAAGGCTTGGATTTACAGAGAACATGGAGAAACTGCACACGTTTTGAAGTTTGAAACAAATGTGGCTGTTCCTCAAATCAAGGAAGACCAGGTGCTGATCAAGGTTGTTGCTGCAGCTCTTAACCCAATTGATGCCAAGAGGGTCCTTGGCGTTTTCAGGGCCACTGACACTGCTCCGCCTGTGAGCTCACTCAACTCAGCTGCCCCCTCTGCATTTTTCTCTTTTCATTTTTCCATAATTAAATCATTAACTAACTAAAAACTTATCATTATGAATTTATGAATCTGATTTGTTTGCAGATAGTTCCAGGGTATGATGTGGCTGGTGTAGTGGTGAAGTTGGGAAGCAAAGCCAGCAAATTTAACATTGGGGATGAAGTGTATGGAGATATCAATGAGGAGGGTAGCATAAACCTGAAGAAGTTTGGGACTTTGGCAGAGTACACTGCTGCAGAAGAAAGATTGTTGGCTCTGAAGCCCAAAAACCTGAGCTTTGTGGAAGCTGCTAGCCTTCCGGCGGCTATTGAGACAGCCTATGAAGGGTTGAAACGAGTTGGGCTTTCTGCTGGCCAGTCCATTCTTGTTTTGGGAGGCGCTGGGGGTTGTGGAACTCATGTTATTCAGGTACATATATGTTCATTTTTGTTCTTATTCTTCTAGCTTACCTCAGACAATCCTCCCATGTGTTTTGGTTGTTTTAAGGTTAATGTTTGTGTTAATTTTGTGGCAGCTAGCAAAGCATGTATTTGGTGCCTCCAGAGTAGCAGCCACTGCGAGCACTAAAAAACTTGATTTGCTGAGAAGCTTGGGTGCTGATTTGGCTATTGACTACACTAGGGAAAACGTTGAAGACCTGCCTGAGAAATTTGATGTGGTGTATGATGCAGTTGGTAATTAATTATTCTTCATTTCTATTTGTTTACTAATTATGTGAAATAAAAGGGAAATAATTTTGAAATGAACAAAAATACAGGTCAGTCGGATAAGGCAGTGAAGGCAGTGAAAGAAGGGGGAAGGGTGGTTACATTAATAGGTCCAATAACACCACCAGCCTCCATGTTTGTGCTCACCTCAACTGGGTCCATTTTGGAGAAACTCAAGCCTTACTTGGAGAGTGGGAAGGTGAAGCCAGTGATTGATCCCACAGGCCCGTATCCATTTTCTAAGACCATAGACGCATTTACCTACCTTCAAACATCCAGGGCTACTGGAAAGGTGGTTGTGTATCCCATCCCCTGAGCTGAGATCAATTAGAGTTTCTGTCTCATATAATTATTATATGTATGCTTAATCTTGTATGTAGTAAGGGAATGCAAGATTTCATGTTGTACATAATATAAGTTGGAGTTTGTAATTTGTATGCCATTTTGTTTTGGAAGAAACTTCTTTGTCTCGGTGCCAGTCCATCTTCATATCTCTCTTTATGTGACATGTGATAAGTGATATGAATATAGAGATGGAACGAGGGTTGGCACCGGGGCATGAAGTATTTTACCTATTGTTGCACACTATTATAAGAATATTTTTTTTTTTTTGGGTCAAACTATAATAAGAATATGGATGCCGCCATACGTGGCATCACAAGTGATCTTTCTCCCTTGTTTTGTCTGACATTATTTTATTATCTAAAGCTATTGTATTGGCCGATACAATAAAACTTACAAGAAATAAATACTGGAAATTTGACGTGGCACCGATTTTTGCTCTTTCCGGTCAATCCAAACTTCATCTCTCTCTTTTGACTGCCCTCTCAGCCTCTCTCCATCACACAACGAGTAAAGACAACTAACAAGAAACAGGAACACCATATAAAACCCTCAACTACAACTAGGTTCTTGGACATATCCATCCATGGCTGCAGGCCACGGCTTCCACTGTTTGCTTACGTACTCTCTAGCTGTAAATAAGGGTTTTTCTGGGTATGCTAAGAGTAGGACAAATTTGAAACATGGTTTGCTGAACAAGGTTATCGGTGATCATCATCATCACTTGCTGCAGCCAGCCTGCAGGTGCAGACCTTAATTAGGCTGTTGAGTGTGCAACTTGGGCTTCTCATAGCCACTGATTTTCCTCCACCTGTGAGCTAGCCCTCTCTCCCTCTCTCTCTCTCTCTCTCTCTCTCTCTCTCCCCACTTTATTTAGTGGGTTCGTTTGTTTATTTTGGGATCATGACCTGTATAAAATTCTCTATTATATGTTTCTTTTGCTAGACATTGATCTGTAATCGAACCAAAAATAAATAACAAAACACTAATCCGTGAGATTATGGTTATTGTTGCTGCTGTTGCTCCTTGCCCCCTTTGCCTTTTCATTTATTGAAAAAAAAATCATCTAATTATAATGAGAAGGGAAAATTATAATGTTTAAAAATTTCCTTTTTGGGTAACTCAGAATTTAAGGAGTTAGTTTATTTTTTTAATAATGAAAATACATAAATTGGAAAAATGATAGAGCTCTAAAATAACCTCAAAGTTAAAGGTAAGTATAAATATATGCGCCACTTGACCTAATGAATTATACTTAACATGAACTTGGATAAATATTCTAAGCTTTATATACAGAGTATTGCTAAATGAATCCTAAAATTAACTGAGTGCACCCTAATGTTTAAATCAAAATATAAAATTAACTAAGCACACCCCTACCAAAAATACCTCTGACACCCTAATGTCACACAACACTAAACCCATTTATTAATTTAAATATTATGTTGTTGATGACACCAGCGAATACCGGTGAACACTCGGCAGTGGTTGGAGAACAATCTATAATTTTTCCGAATTTTATGTTGTGAACTTATGAATAAACTATGAAGGGACCATATATATGTATATAGCTAATAGGAAAGTGAAAAATACAAGTTGCCCAATAGCTTAAAAGGTTCTCTGAGCAGTAGGGGCGAATACCATTGTGTGATTTTCTCCTTCTAATTGTAAAATTTGAAATTTTTGAGAGCTTATTTGCTTGCATGATTTTTTTTTACTACTTTGTGGGAATTGCCTACATTTGTTGATGAACTATGTATATGCTGGCCATATATGACGATAGAAGAATCAAGATGCCTGTTGTATTGTGTTTTTGCTTCTTTTTTTTAATTGTTTTTTAATTATGAAATTGCCTGAAATAACTTTCATTTGAGATAGATTTCTGAATTAGGGTTGAATATGGTGAGTATGGTAGAATGTACTTATAAACATCACATTTCATTCACAATTCAATATATCTTTTTTGGCCATTTTATAATAGAATAAATTAGTTATTCAATAAATAGTTTGATAGTATGGTGTACTTAGTTAATTTTAGGGTTCGTTTAGTAGCACTCTTATATATATAAATTCACGCATAGTACAAGAATTTGTTGAACAAGATGTGACTAAATAGGATCAAATGGAAATAATATAACATGTATATATTTCCATCGATCTTGAATTTATTTCTGAACATGAATTATTTATACGTAGGTAAAAACAACTAGCTTGTAAGATCATCTACCAATCTCCTTATTATTTTCATATAGCCTCCTTTCACTTTCAGGCACTACATATCCCTGGAGTCCAGACACCAACAATAGTAATCAGACCTTGAGGCTTCCAGCATTTGTTCTGGGCTCATCCTCTCGAGCTCATTTTGGCGCCACGATGCAAAGTTGTTCCTGTTCTGTGGGTCAGAAGCCAGTGGGTAAGCCTCTTTCTTATGAACTTGGGATCGCATTCTCATGTAGAGCTTCATTGTTGCAACACAATCCTCATAAGGGTCTTGAATGCCAGTTTGAATGTCATACCTGTAAATATGTAGGAGTTCCATTAGTACTCACATAGCTAGCTAGGTTTATATTTGGAATTTGAGATGGACGAAAGCTAAGGAAATTGATATAGTAGGGTACTTGCCCAAGATATGCTTGAGTTAGATACTTGAGTGAGTTGCTGAGCTTGCTTGTTTTCATCAATGGAGGGTATTTTGCAGTATCCCTACATATAGTCACATACATTTAAAATTACTAATGGAAAGTTCTACATATATGATGTTTCCCAAATTTTGGGCTCGATCTAAAATTATATATGATCCAATCATCTCTTGTGATACTAAGACAACGTATGGGATGATTAGTAACACAAGTAATTTTGTGCTTATCTTGCAATTAATCTTGGTAGGGTAGAAGAAAATGAAAATTACCTGATCATTACTTGTGGATATTCCACCTGCAAAGAGTCAAGATCATGATCCAAACCATGGCCCACAAGAATCCTAGCTTTTCCGCCTCTAGGTCGAATCTTCCACATTGGTTCCCCATTGCAGAGGAAGTCTTGAATCTTCTTTTGCACTTGCCTCAGATGCATCGCATCCCTTAAGTATTCAGGACGAATGCCAGTTGTTTCATACCTATATGCATATACACAAGTATATATGTATGTACTATAGTTAGTATATACTAGAAGAAGCTCTCTACCTACACATATCATCTTTTCCATATAATATAGCTACCTATAGTTTGTGACTGGAAGTAGTGGCTTGACATAAGACTGGAAGATGATGTTTTCGTATTCGTCGATGAGGCAGACCTTTGCACAGAGATCCAGGGAGCCGTCACTGCCCCCACCAACCATTTTGCAAGCAAGTGCAACAACTTGGGTGCCTCTTGTGCTTCCATTTTCAGTATTGTCACGAATGCCCAAATTAGCAAAGCGACCAAGTAGGCCCTGCATGTATGAATAATATTAAGAATTTAGCTAATTTGCATTGAAAGAAAGAAAGAAAGAAAATTCATAATTAAGTTGGTGTGTTAATTTAGGATTATTACAGCATTTGCACCAGAGAGTTGGCATCTGTCCTGGTGAACCCTGAGAGCATAAGAGCTGTCAAGGATAGCTAAGCAGAATTTGCATCCTCTGGTGCTGAATATATTCCTGCATTCTTGTTTTGGCAATGGCCCTGAACAAAAACCAATACATACATACTATTAACTGGAAATTAAAAGAATTCTGGGAGTATTAAAGAATATAATATATATATTTTATGTGTGCGTGTGTGTGTGTGTGTGTGTGTACGTTCAAGAGTAGAATTAATTGATTAATTGGTTTGATTACCTATAAGATGTTCCCTGAGAGATTCAAAGGATCTGCAATGTTTCTTACAGATTCCACATGTGGGTTCATGAGCTGAGTGATATGAGGTTCTCATGTGCTCCACTAAGTGCTCGATTTTGTTGAATTGTCTGTAGCATGCTGCACACTTGTTCCTGATCATTAAAAGTCACATAAACATGTATATATTGTGATTAGTTAAACAACTAGTATCATGCATGATGCATAGAAGATTGATATTCTGAGAGAGAGAGAGAGAGAGAGAGAGAGAGAGAGAGTCAAGTACCTCAGAGTTTCTGAAGACTCAACTCTGTAGTCCATGGTGGTTGAAAGACTAGTATACTCAAACAAAAAGGTAATTAATTAAGGAAGCTGAACAAGACTTGAAGGGAAAGGCAGAGGGAATGGAAGGTATTTATAGCAGTCCACGATAGGAGGAAGAGAATAGCTTCTGAGTGGGAGTGTAAGCATCTAGAGAGAGATTGATGATACGTGATTCCTTGAAGAAAAATAAAGCAATTAATATTGTTATCCCTTTGTTTTGGATTTTGGAGAACTCTGGTTGTTCCCACCCTATAATACCATTAAATTCTGGTTTTACCATCCTATAACTAAGAACATTCGTTGTGATCCAAAAGCTTGGGGCCCACCATTCATTCAACCAGAATATTTCTCTCCTAAATGGGTACCTACCTGGTCTCCCCTCATCTCTCTTTCAGAATGACTTCCATCTGCACCAAAAGCATATAATTTATGGAGCATAGCCCATTTGTTTCCTCTCTTTGTAATAGGATTGAACTAGTAAACAGTGGAAAAGGCTGCTATATATTTCATGAATTCCATTAATAATGATCACAAGGATATATTATAAATCCCATGCAGCATCAAATATCAACCAGATGAGATGAACCTTTTCTATTTTTTTTCAATCTCATATCATCTTTGATGTGATACATATATATATATATATATATATATATATTCGAGTCAAAGATTTGTAAGTGTATTGATTTGATACATGCATATCAGAAATGAGAAACCGTACGCATACTTGGTCGTTAATGATGCATGTGAATGAAACTTTTTCCTGTCCTGGGATATAAAGCGTGATGGCTGATAAGGCAAACGCCCGAAAGCTAAGGTAGCAGATAAAAGTTA